ATCCCACAGAGTCTTTGAGAGGATTGCATTAAAGTGTCTGGTATATTGTCAACATTCGACATGGGTGCTTTCTCCTCCAATCATTTCCTGAAGCATGTGGTTTCATTTTGAGGGATCAGTTCCAATTAGAAACTCTTCTGTACTGACTTCAGAGAGCTCTGGTGGCTTAGTGGCAAGGAACTGCACTGCCAACCCAAAGGCATTCACTTCAAATCCCACAGCTGCTCTGCAGAAGAACGATGGCAATCTCCTCTTGTGAGTTTACTGCCTCAGAAAACCTGCTCGAGGGTCAGCTGTGAGTCAGCGCCCACCTGATGGTACGTAAAAACAACAGCTTACCGCCTTCAGACCTCAGACATACTATGTAATTCATTTACTCTTAATGATTTTTTTCATCTGGAAAGTCAAAAGAATGGCGCCTGCCACAGAGGTCATTACAAGCAGCAAGTGAGCTCACAGAGATCATGTTTCAGACACATAAGAGGTTTTTGAGAACTTCCTGTGCCTTCCCTCCTTCCTGTGGATGACGCATTCTCCATGGGAAGTGATAGTGCCTCCAGCGGGCAACTGCCGCTTCTTGGTGGATGAAAAATCTTACTAATTTTTTTTATAGAGAGAGTACAAATGCACAGATAATCCATAAACAGCTAATTAAAATTTCATGGAAGTAGAGCCCTTGGGGGTGAGGAAAATCTCAAGACTCTTTGGGGAGGGCATGAGTGAAAGCTGAGAAAACACCACACCACCACTCCAGAGCCAAACTACAATGTAGAATGTGTCCACGAAGCCATGGATGATTTTACGTGTTTCTGAGTCTCCAAGTGCCAGGAGCAAATAAATACTCCTTAATGCCTTTTTTTTTTTTTTTAAAAAACCCAAAAACCGGATTTGTAGGTTGTTGGAGATTTTTTTCCCTCTTGTGTCCAGGGAACCTTGTATCTTTTCCCCCCCTCTTTTTTCCTAATCTGCCCCCAGTTTGAGGTTTTTGTTTTGTTTTGACCCAACTATGTTATCAAACTGCAAGCTCACCATCTATGAGAAAAAGGAGAAAGAAAGATTAATGGATGTGTTTGGGTCTGACTTGCTGGGAGACTTCCCTTTTGGCATGGTTTCAACAGCATTAGCTTTCTTTGTCGTTTTCTGGTTAGGCCCTTGTCATTGAAAATATACCTGAACACCAGTGTGTGTGGCTGTTGGGCCTGTATGATGGGGAGGAGAGAGAAGGGGAGGGAAGCAGGTTGTGATCAGAACGTCCTTTAAGCGTGTTTGTGGTTTTTGCAAACCACTTTGGGCGCAATATTGAATCCTGTCCCCTTGAAGGGAGAAAAGCCTTTGAAGGTAGAGTTAGCTGCCCTCCTTTCTTGCTCTTAATAACATACAACCTCTAGAGCGCAAGGGGAGTGCCAGAGGTTGGTTTTGGAAGAAATAAACTCATGTGAACTTTGCTATTTAAATTCAGGAGACAATATACCCCGTGGTGCTGGGATGGTATGATAATGGCTGATGTTTCCACTGGAGAGTCTGAATCACTCAGCTGCCCTGGAATTCTGTGTAACCGTTACAGAAACATCTGTACCCGCGAATGCCAACAGACAGCAGGGGGTCATAAAAACTATTTGCCAATATATCTGCCTCTGATGGGCACCTAAAAATGGACACATCAGGCATAAAAGATGTGCATGTCTGTTATGTGGGCCAGCTTTGTGAAGGATGACAAGCTTCCACGGGCATGCCGAGATAAGGAACAGCTGTTGCTGGTGTCGGGACTGCTGCAAGAAATGAATTCGGAATTTGAGGGCGTACATGTGAAAGGTACCATACCTTTGATCAACTTGTGAATGGCATGTGCAAGACCAGGATCATCTGACAGCCCCAGGCGGAATTACCAACCACCCTTTCATCATCTCTTGGGAAGTAGCCCTGAATCCAATCCCATAGAGCCACCACTGAAACACTAGAACACACAGTTCCTGTATGTGCATGGTCTGGGGTGTGTGTGTGGGGGGGTGGGGGGTGGTGATGAGAGAAGAGAGGACTGTGGGAGATGCTGCCCTCTTCCTTTCTGTTGACTCAAGGACATCTTGGAGTATAAAACGTCAGCGTTTCAAATGACGGCTGTAGAGTGCTTGGGTGAATTTCTACATTACAATTCAAAACGGGGGAGTGGGGAGCCTCCATCCTCTAGAGGGTGAAGAAACTGACTCTTGCCTTTTGACCTCTTTGATAGTTTCACACTAATCAAACAAACAAACAAAAAAGACATTGTTTGGGATTTGAGGAAAACTCACAATAAACAACTAAGAACTCTAGTTATAGAAGCAAGGAGCTCTAGTGGCCTAGCGGAAAGAAGCTGTACTGCCAACCCCAAGGCACATGGCTCGAATCCCTCAGTTGCTCCATGGGAGAAGGATTGGCAATTTCCACACAATTTGTCCTCATTGCTGTATACTGTCCAGTGGGAACTGGCCCTTAGCTGACCCTTCAACGAGTTTTCAGAGGCAGTAAATTGCGCTCTGAGAGATTACTTTTCTCCCGTGAATTTAAACCCCGTGCCTTCATTTCCTCACCAGTAGGCCACCAGAGCTCTCCATGAGGTTTACTGCACCTGAAAACATAATAGAGGGCCTGACTTCACAGCACACAAAAGTTGTTGAAGCTTACATTTCACATTGTTCTGGGATTTAAATATTGTTGTTGTTGTTCTTATTATTATTATTATAATTTTTTATTATTATTATCTATTTGACCATTTAGCTAAGGCACATTGTGGTTACTCCTCTGGCACTTAATTGGTGTTTCCCCCACCCTCCTTTGATATTTCCCAAACACAAAGTCAACTGTAGATGCACTATGTGAATCTTGTATTTGCTTAGTCCCTCAACTCCAGTGTCTCTCCTTCTGTTGCTTGAAACTTTCAAGCTAGACTAGAGCCCTGGAGCCAGCCCAGGCCACGGCTGATTTTGCCGGCAGTTTCTTCTCTGAAGAACCTAGGAAGAATGTAGGATGTCCAAATCGACTCGTCTATTACCAGAAGGCATTCCCAGCAGCCTCTGAATCAGAAACACTCTCTGACCCTTTAGAATGATAAAGAACTAGAGAGAACGAGAAATGGGGATGTCTCAATCTATGATGACCTTTAGAACAATCATTCTTTTCTTGGTTTAAACAGTCACCAGCTTGGTAATGATGGCCAGTGAGTGGCTGGACCAAACAGTCTGACGTTTTCATCTTCATTGCATGATGCTGGAATTTGAAAAGCAGAGTGCAACCAGGAGCTTTGATTTCCATGTCTCAGTTCAGAGAGGACTTGAGGTTTCTTTCCCATAACACACAACCCCAGTAGGTCAGAGACTCCAGTCCTCATTCTTACATCAGCTCTTACTTTCTGGACTGATCTGGCCAGTAGAGCTTTCTTATGGAGGAGGAAAAGGGAAAAGAGCCTCAGGGAGGGGAATGAGGAAGGGAGAGGGGAGGGAGAAAAGAGAGGTTGGGGAAGCAGAGAAGAAAGGCAGAGAGATTGGAAGGGGTAGCAGATGAGTGGCTTTCCCCCCATAGTAAAAAAATAAAGCCTGTTTGCCAAAATGAAAAGCAGTAATTAGTGGCTAAACACAAATCCATTTTCTCTTTTAAATGACAAATCACCAAGGTACCAAGCAGCAGGTCTTGTTAAAGGGTGGATGATTCGATCCCTCTATTACTCTCCCTAAAACAAAGAATCTGTAGTTTCATTACCCTTAAATTGTCTGGAAGTGGGTGAAGTTAACTTTTATTAGGAACTGTTCTTTCATATTATACAGTGTAGCCAAGTATATATTAGCTTTGACATTTTCTTACACCTCAATATACTGCGGATTGAATTTACTGGAGACTAATTTAGAAGGGAGCTTTTCATGGGCAGAAATAATGGTCAGCATCCCTTGTACTTCAAATTATTAGCAGGGTAAAGATTCAGGGGGAAATGTGCATACATGTAAAATAGATGTTAATAAAAAATTCCTCCTCTATTTCAGTGTCCAATGACATTCTCTGTTTTGGGGTTTTTTAGAAAGCCCTAAAACAACAAACTCCACTGTCTTAAAACTGTATTCAGAAGCAAGATTTTATTGTTGCAGAAATGTTCTAGTGCCTCCTGAAAATTATTTTGTTACAAAGAAAGGGGGGGGGAATTATCAGATAGTACACTGTATACAAGGTATTTTTAGAGGTTGGGCTTCAGGAAAGAAAAGACCTACAACGTCCATATTAAAAAGCAGTTTAAAGATGATGGATTTGACTAATACACAATAAAGTCATTATAAAACGAATTCCCAGTATGTGAAATTTAATTTCACCTATAGGATTCATCACTCATCACAAAAGTTTTATTACACTCTGCTCCTGGATGCCTTTCTCTCACAGTTAGGTTATCTTTTCTAATAAGATCATGCTGGTCAGCTGACATTTTGAGGCACCAATTAAACATACAATTGGTAAATGATAGTGGCTTCTGTCTAAACCGAATAAGGAGAAAAACAAGCACACCAAGAGTGATAAGTGTAGTATTTTAGCTTCAATAACTTAGAATGTAAATTCATCACAGAGGGGTATTTCAGCTGCCAACCTAATAAAACTTAGTCAGATGGTAAAAGCCACAGAGAAGCAACAATAGAAAGTGTTCTAATAAAAGTACCCAATGGAGACACATGAGAGAAAACCCGTCCTTCTATTCCTTTTAACTTCATCTCTTCCATATATGTTTAGCATTGGAAAGGTGATTATTTTTAGGGGGGTTGGTTTGGGGCTTTTGGGGGGGGTTGCATTTATGTCTGTGCCTGAAGGACTTCAATTTCAACTTAGATTAGGACAGACATTTGAGAACAGCAGGTTAATCTGTCCTGTCTTCATGGGCAACTGAACAAACAGACCAATATCAGTGTAAAATTGTGATTCTAGAGATTAATGTTATCTTTCCTGTTTGCAGTGAACTTGACTTCCTTGTTTTTCCCCCCTCCCTTTTTCAGCTTCTGTCCAGGGTCCCTGGGAGAGAGCCATCTCACCAAACAAAGTGCCATACTATATCAAGTAAGTGGAAAACTCAGATTCTTAAAGCAGCATTTATTGTGGTTAATTAGTATATGTGCAAATGAATTTACTTTTACAAACTTCATGTTAGTCTGGCCTGTTGTTGTTATGTGCCGTCGAGTCGTTTCCGACTCATAGCGACCCTATGCACAACAGCCCTAAACCCTGCTCTATCCTGCACCAACCGCACCGCCTCTG